TGGCTAGTTTTAAGTACCTAATTACTTTAAGTAATAACGTAAACATTTCACAAATATGTCATAAAATTACTAAATATATGATATATAAACTAAAACTATAAGAATTAAATCAACAAACTAGCTGCAGTGAATCTGTTTTTCATATTTCTGTATATTTATTAGCTTGATATTATCTGTTCCCTTTTTAGGGTTGCGTACCCAAAAAGTAACCACCTAGGGTAACGGGACCGTATTACTAAGCTTCCGCTGTCCGTCCGTCCGTCCGTCCGTCCGTTCGTCTGTCTGTCAGCTGAGTGTATCTCATGATCCGTAATAGGAAGACAGTTGAAATTTTCACAGAATGTGTATTACTGTTGCCGCTATAATAACAAATAATAAATAAATTAAAATTAAAGGGGGCTCCCTACTAAAAACGTGTTTTACGATGTTACGGAACCCTTCATGCGGGAGTCCGACTCGCACTTAGCCGGTTATTTAAAAATGATATCGATAAATATCTATGTTAGTTGTGGTTACTTGCAAGAGGATGAGCACGCTGTTGTGTGTGGTGGTGATTCGAATAAAGAGAAAAAAAAATATAAGATCAATCGAATATAAATATACATTTATATTAAAAATTTAAAGCTCTAATTTTAATAAGTCATAATTTGTGTAACATATCCATTTAATATGGTACGGAATCAAAATTAGAACATAATTTAAACTTATATTTTATTACACACTTTATAATTTGATTACATACAGTGATCACAATGCCGCAATGGCTAGCAACAAACGGTTACCTATATCTTCATCACTTCTTGTGATCCGATTTACTGTAGAGACCATGTCGACCAACAGTAGTCTCTACGAGACAAAATACCTGCCACCACACCATCAGATGTTCATCGCTCCTGAATGACTCAGAGATGTTCATCACTAAATGTTTAAATTGCTTTTTTAAATAGTTGATTTAAATAGCTATCAATCTTCAAATGCTTCCTTTTTTACTTACCTATATCACTTTATAACGGAGGGATTTCCAATTACACAGCTCGTAAGCTTATAGTCTTTATTTGAATAGGAAAATGTCACTCAAATTACTAAACATACATAAACTACCCTTAAGCCTCGGAAACTCTTTCCAAGCTGTAGGAACTTTATCAAACAAACGACGCTCCGTTGCTTTTGAGGATAAAATGAATTCATTATTTTTCTCTTCAGATTTGCCTACAATAAATTTTAATGGAAGAACATTTTACCTTTTGTGCGAAGACATCAACGTTAATTTACATTGTCTGTCATTGGAAGTCGTAGATCCATTTGCTCGCCTGAATACAAAAGAATGTGACATTACTATTTAGTTAAAGCCTCCTGTCACCCAGATAGAAAAGCTTTTCTTTTGTATTAAATATAATGATCACATTTTAATACTTTTTTTTAATTGAGAATGTAAGATGTCCTATTATTTTCTTAACAAGAGGAAATCTTAGTGTGACGTGGACGGTTTTTAAAAACAAAACAGATTATACATTCAGTAATTTTAAATTTTGAAAACAAACATATGAAATAGGACTCTCATTTAATTTTTATGTATTTGTTTTTAATTAAATTTTACGCAAAGTATGTGAGCCTTGTGTGTGTGGGATATTCCTATTTAGATAAGTAATAAACTACAACTTTTACACATGATAGTTATGTAACACAACCTAAAAATTGATTCATGTTTATCATTGTTTTGTAAAGGTGACTTTGGTGTGTTCTCTAATTGATATTAATGTGTCTTATACACACACCGCTCTATTTTTTATTTATTCTTAGTTGATGACGATAGAGCAAATCAACTCAAATCAACAGTACTTCTTTAAATTCTCAATTAAGTGACGAAGTGACGACATTGACTTTACTAAGATACAACTTCCAGTCTTGAAAAAGTACTATTTTAAAAATCTATTTTAAAGTAGTACAACTACTTTCAAAATTCATCCGTATTAAATATGAAATCCGTTTTATGCGTGAAGAATAACTATCAAGACAAAGATGTTGTTTTATGCTTACGTAAATTTAACACATCCTTTTATATAATAAGCAACCGCAAATTAAAGCTAAGAATATACTAGACGAGGCCGTTTAGGCCGCATCACATCTCCAAATTTCGCTTGTTATATATTTGGTATGAACCTGCGTCAAGTGGAGGCGCGGCGGAACCCACCGGCGGATCCCTCAGTGATAAATTCTCGTCACTGTGATGAAGCCCGCCCCGCCCCATCAGATCAAAGAAAAAGTGATGAAATTCACCACAAAACCTTTACTTAAATAAATTATGAAATAAACCCCATACTAAAAACAAATACTTATGGTCATACCCTTCCATTGATTACACTACAATACGATCATTTCTTACATTGCGGCCCATCTTTGTTGGACTTTATCTTTATTGGACGCCTGAATTAACCTGTTACTGAAACAATTTCATAAAACTCCATCTTTCTAATCTAAAATAAGCAAAGACAGTAGACCGTAGACAGATACAGTAAACAGAGAAAACGTTTCGATGAGTGCCTATTGAAATATTATAATTATATAATAAAAAATTGTTAAGTTGTTTTAATTATGATGTATAAAAATTCCGTTTTTATCAGCCCTTATGAGTGCAGTGGCTTCTTTTTCTGCTTTTAGAGTATTTAACAGAGCTGCCATGCTGAGCAATGGATTGACGATCCAGCATCCTTGATGATGCTCGCGGTGACCGGTTTTTATTTTATAACTAGGGTAAGTATGACAAGGTGGCTGGTAATAACTGGATGCGCATAGACGAAGAGCTAGCTAAGTGGCGTGCCTTGGGTACAGCCTGTGTCCAGTAGTGAACTGTCTTTGATGATGAGGTGCGACAAGGTTATACCGCCATCTATTAAAAGCTACAATATCCCTCTCATAGTCGCTTCTTATGTTACTCATGGGATGAAATGAGTTGATAGATTCTCAAACGCCTTTACTCACTGCATAAATTACTTAATTTTGAAAATTTTAAAAACCTATTCCTAGTAGGAAGTGAGGAACGTTAGAACGTTAAAAATATATTTGATTTACTACTTAGTTTCTAATACTTTGCCATACATAGAACTACGTACCGCAAAGTATTCACGTTTCACAATATAGCTCATTCACTCTCGTAATCTGTTGATTGAGCCGGGAGACTTTCGCAACCCTCTATATCGAATATCGACAAGGCATTCATGCCAGTAAATCCCATATTTAGAGCATAAATAAATATATTAATATGTGTAAAGTATTGATTGTATTATTTTATTTTATTGTTTTTCTCCTGTCTTAGTTTTGGTATTTCTTAATTTTTAATTTATTTTTAGGTTATGATTCTAAAATTTTGTAATTTATATTATAAAATGTTTACTCTTCTTGTGAGGCATGTTGTGGCTGCCTTAAATAGGTTTTACATTTAAAAGTTAAGTTTATATATTATTTTTGGGAACATGTATTAATTATTATTACCTCTGGCTGTCCTCACAGAAATAAATAAACAAATAAAGTTTTTATAGGCCACTGAAGGTTTTTGTCAATAGCAAGAAGCACATAATTGATAAGTAATTATTCATCATACGTTTGTTGACTGGGGCCGTGTGACATAAGAGCTGGAGTACGCTATGACTAAAGGAAAAAGTACACTTTCCATCAAAATGGAATGCAGTAGCGGTGGTGGTGTCCCCAAATAGCACAGCGAAACTGCACCGCTTCTCGATGACTTACGCAATTCGTGTCGCATTGCGCCGCGTCACATTTGTGTTGAATTCACTCACGTATTGCGCCGATTAAGAGTCTGCTTAAGGCTAAACCAAGAAGACGTAATGCTTACGATAAATGACGGAATTATGTAAGTAAACTGGCCTTTTAACAATTAATTTATGATAATTGGAGGATTTCTAGATATTTCTAATTAATGATAAGTTGTGTGGGCGCCTGCGAAGGATTCTGATAGGGGTATTACAGGGGTAATTCTGAAAGGGACATTGCAACGCATGCCTGGCATATGTATATATATATATGGGGGGGGGGGGGGGGGGAATTCCGCTCAATACAATAATTGCTCGGGGCAAACTGAGCAACAAGACCAAGGCGACACCTGCCACGCTCTCCGTGAATTTCTGCAACATTAGGATACTTCACGGTACGACTTTCCATTGATGTCCGTCGAGTTAGAGGTTGATATTACAGAAAGGTTACATTATTATAAGCACACACGCAAAATTTCAACATGCGGAAATGCGTACTATTTGAGAAAAAAAATTATTGAAAATCAATTATTTTTGCAATATTTATGCCAGTCCCCATTGACATCCGTTGAGTTGGAGATTGATATTTTTTTTACAGAAATGTTACATTATTATAAGCACACACGCAGTTTCAACATTCGAAGACACGTACTTTTTGAGAAAAAAATATTGAAAATCAACTATTTTTGCAATATTTATGTCAATTGCTACCGTAAAACTGACGCTATTTTGTATCGTCGTTGTCAGTAGGGATGTCGATTCTTTCCGAAAAAGAGCGATTTTTTAAATCTATTCAAATTGTAAGCTGATGTATCTATTCACAAAAAATCGATTTCTAAATATCTATATTTATTTATGTTTGCATTTATAATGTAAATATAAGCCCCCGTTACCATGGGTGCTGTAAAGTGCTTGAAACGTCGGGAATGTAAAATAAGTTAATATACGCGATACAATCCGTAAAATTAGTTTCATTTATTATGGTATCTTTCTTGTTTTTCATAAAATGAATTTATATTTACATTATAAATGCAAACATGAAAAAAATATAGATATTTTGGCCCTTAAATGCATGATTTTATTTTTAGACCGAGAAAAAATATATTTTGGAGCCATGAATATGCTGATTCAGGGAAAAATATTAAAAAAAATCGTAAATATTTTTTTCATAGCTATTTTTATTAAAAACCATATGCTGCAGAACTACAACACCATGCACTCACTAGACAATAACTACATATGAAAATTTTTAAAACAATTTTTGGTCGTGGTAAGACAAAGAGCTACTCCACACTTCTCACACCTTGTTTGCGTGTATCCCTTGCATCCAGGCATTTTGCATCTGCTGCGAACACAATTACCAGGCCAGTGACCAACATTATCAGTTCTTATGTCCTTAGGAGGAATATGTTGAGCTGGTCCTCTCCTTTTCTTTGCTTGTATTTCCATTTCAACACTGTTGCTGGTACTTGGCCTTCCTCTTTTGTTGCAGTGTTCAAATGAGTTATTTACTTTGGCTAATACCTCAGCTAGTTCCAGTCTAAAGTGACATAAGTTTAGAACTGATGAATTGGCTTCAGTTATTTTTAAATCTTTATACACAAGCCAAGAATTTATTACCGTCATGTCCAATAAATGGTAAAGGATACGAAGATACCACTTTCGGCTTCTCATTGCAATTCGGTACCTCCCAATAAAGCTATCCATTAGGTCCACTCCACCCATATGGGCATTATATTCCTTAATTATATGTGGGCATGAAATTTTAATTCTAGTCTTATTTGCCTTGTCAAATCTTTCTACTTGACCCACAGGTTCAGCTCCAACATACGAAGATAGAAAAGTTACAACTTTATTGTCCTTCCAAGTAACTGCTGTCACATCAATACCGTCAAATTCAGTCATCTGCTCTTCATAAGTTCCACGAGGAACAGATTTCTTCATCATTGTTTTTTTGTCCGGCAGTTTGCAGTTCACTAGCCTGTTAGATTGGACAGTACCTAGGCTATAGATTCCTTGCTGGCAAGATAGGTAACTAAAGGTACAGAGGTGTAAAAATTATCAAAATAAATTATATGATTTATATGCCTTGGGACACCTCTAGCAAGCCGGACTACAACATTTCCCACTGGCCCAAAATCTGGTTCATCTGGAAGCCGTTCATTCTCTTGGCCAGTATATATTTCAAATTTATGAGCATAACCTTTCACGCTGCACATCACATATAATTTAAACCCCCACTTATGGGGCTTATTAGGTAAATACTGCTTCATGAAGAGTGCCACTTTCGTGGCACACATCTGTTCATCAATTGAGAGTCTTTGTTCCATAGGAACTAAAGCAAATTTTTCATTTAGATGGCTAATTATAGGCCTTATCTTATGGAGCCTATCATGTTGTGGGTGTTCCTTGGGTAAATGTTTCTCGTTATTGTTGAAATGTAGAAATCTACGTATAGTCTCAAATCTGTTGACAGTCATTATGTCCTTTATTGGTTGAAAACCTACAGTATTTGACCAGTATAGCCGTACATTGGGATATTTTATAACAGACATGTATATCAGTATCGCCATAAACTTTCTTAGCTCAGTTTCAGACAAATTTAATGGTTTAGTCACATTTTTTGAACGGAATACAAATTAGACTCTTCCACAATCCTTTGAACTATTTCTGATGTAATAAAATGTGAAAAAATACTATAGGGAGTACCAGTAGTAGCCTCATCCTTCAGTTCTGGTGGATATGTAGTGTCTCCATGAAAAGCTGTCTGGTCAGAATTCAAAACAAAATTTTTACCTTCCATACGAGTCCTCTCATAGTTGCTCGGCGACTAGCTTGACTTGTTGAGGGGAATGGAACCTGTGGCACTTGATCATTTGCTGTAGCTTCATTTATCAATGGCGGGTCTCCTGCCATGAATGGATCATTATCGGGGTCATCATTTTCCTCTTCTAATGGACTCTCAAGATCGTGAAGCAAATCGTCTCGATTTTCACAAAAATTCTCATGACCTTCTGTATCCGACTCCTCAAGATCATCTTCCGACCTCTCTCCATCATTTATTAGAGCTAAATACTCTTCTATTTGCTTTTGATTCAAGTTTGGCATCTGAAAACCAATAAAAGTGATAGTTAGAATCTAAACAGGGACATTTTCTAGTAAATGCATATTGTTGCAGATTTACAACAACAAAATAAACAAAATTTCCGAACACACCAAAAGTTTTTTTTATAACTTATAAATTGTACTGAAAAGAAGATGAATTATTACGTAAAATAACTAATTTTGTTTGAACTTACCTTCGAAAATCAAATAATTACACTGCAAAGCAAGTACACAATTTTCATCCGCTCCAAAATTACGATCGGCTTTGATTTGTCAATGTCAAGTTTAAATTTGACAGTCGTGAAGAAAAAAAGTGTGTTGCCACTCGATTAAATATATAACCATGATAGTGATAATCCTGCAACAGCATGCAATGAACTCATACTAATAATTTTATGGTCGTTTGAATGGTATGTTGCAGTTTTACAACTTTATGCATTTAAGGGTTAGAAATCGATTTTTTGTGAATCGATATATCAGCTTACGATTTGAATGGATTAAAAAATCGATCTTTTTCGGAAAGAATCGACATCCCTACTAACGATGACAATGACAATACAAATAGCGTCAGTTTTACGGTAGCAATTGACATAAATATTGCAAAAATAATTGATTTTCAATAATTTTTTCTCAAAAGGTATGCGTTTCCGCATGTTTAAACTTTTCCTTTGTGCTTATAATAATGTATCCTTTCTGTAAAAAAATATCAACCTCCATCTCGACGGACGTCAATGGAAAGATAAGGCTACTTCACTCGAACCTAAACGCCGTCCATTACCATCTCGAGACGGTTTAGCCGGCCTTGCTCTTTCTGACCGAGACGCAGGTGTCCTCTTCGGCTGATACCTTATATCTCTCCTACCCGGGGTACAAATTGGAACACTCCTTTATGCCTCGGGCTGGAGTTTATACATATACGTCAGAGACGACATCTCTTCTCGACGCCTCTGCAGTCTTGAAGGTTCGGACCTGGCCATCCTTTGGCTACGTGTAGATAGCGACGACCATCCGCGCGTCTACTGGTGCCTCTATAGGTCCATAGCTGTAATACCGAAACAGATCGACTCATCGAACACGTCCAAATGGCTACAGATTCCTTGCTACAACAGGTCCCATCCGCAGAAATCGTGATCCTTGGCGATTTTAACGCCCACCACGCCGAATGGCTCAGTTCACGTTTAACCGATCATGTGGGGAGATCTGTTTATGACTTTGACTTGGCATATGGTCAGACACAACTGGTTACTTCGCCTACACGGATTCTAGATGTGGAGGATCATACACCTTCCCTGTTGGACCTTCTGCTGACTTCTCATCCAGACGGATATCAGGTTTCCATCGATGCCCCTCTCGGCTCTTTGACCCATTGTCTGATCCGAAGTATGGTGCCACTCACGCTCCCCTCGCGGTTGCGTTCTGCAGGTTGCCGCCGTGTTTGGCATTACAGGTCGGCGGATTGGGACGGAATGCGGTCTTTCTTTGCATCCTACCCATGGATGCGGGTTTGCTTCTCGCCGGATGATCCCAGAGCTGTTGCTGACTCTGTCACTGATGTGGTGCTACAGGGAATCGAACTATTTATTCCATCATCTGTGGAACCCATCGGAGGCAGATCTCAGCTTTGGTTTGGTCGCTCCTGTAAGAATGCATTACGCAGTAAGCATGAGTGCTATCAGGCTTGGGCTGAGGCTTCGGCGGCTCGGGATGTAAGCATCAGCATGCTAAAAAAGAAGTATAACTTCGCCTCCAGGTCCTTTAAAGAAAAAAGAGTTATTGCCAAGGCAAAGTCAGAGCACATAGGCAGAATTGGCTAGAAATTAGTTCGTGTTCCTTCGGGAACCCGTGCATTCTAGTCTCTCGCCAAGACTGTCCAAGGGAATTTCTGTAAGCCATCACTACCATCTCTGCACAGGGAGAACGACTCGCTGGCCTACACTACAAAAGAAAAAGCCGACCTTATAGGCTCCCTTTTTGCGTCCAACTCGACTCTTGATGACGGGGGGAATACACCGCCGACCATCCCGCGGTGTGAGTGGTGCACGCCGGATGTGCGGTTCCCACAGCGATCGGTCCGCAAAGCATTCCTCTCCCTGGATATCCACAAGTCGAGTGGGCCTGATGGAATCCCCCAATTGTGCTGAGGACGTGTGCTCCGGAGTTGCCACCGGTTCTAGCACGTTATTTCCGCTACTCCTACTCCCTAGGCGTAGTCCCGAAATCATGGAAGACAGCTTTTGTCCACCCAATCTCTAAAAAAGGCGACCGCTCAGACCCGTCCAACTACAGGCATATCGCCATCACCCCCTTGTTCTCCAAAATAATGGAATCCGTTATAAACTGCCACCTCATACGGTACCTTGAGGATCACCAGCTGATTAGTGACCGCCAGTACGGTTTTCGTCGGGGTCCGATCAGCTGGTGATCTTCTGATCTACTTGATTCATAGATTATTTATTATAACATTGGAATTGTTTTTGATTTTTATAGTTTGATTAATATAATATAATAAGACAATTAAGATATTTATAATATTGTCAAATAATTCTATTTCTTTTTAATTGTTTGTAATTATTCAATGATGTAATTCAGTTTTTATTTCTTACAAAATAATCAATGCATGTTGTGATTACCCATAAAAAGAAATACAATTATAATGTGTTGAATTTGTTATGAAAATGATCTTTGTATTACTGTTGTTATTTCTGTTGGTAATCCTAATAAATTAATTAATTAATAAATAAATAGATGGGCGGAGGCAGTGGAGTCCAAGGGGGAGGTATTGGCCGTTAGTTTGGACATTGCGAAGGCCTTCGATCGGGTTTGGCACAAAGGGCTTCTTTCGAAGCTTCCTTCCTATGGGCTTCCCAAGAAATTGTGCAATTGGATCACCAGCTTTCTTGCAGATCGGAGCATCAAGGTCGTTGTAGACGGTGCATGCTATTAACGCTGGTGTTCCACAAGGCTGCGTGCTATCAGCAACGCTGTTTCTTCTGCATATCAATGATATGTTGCAAACCGGTAGCATTTATTGCTATGCGGATGACAGCACTGGTGATGCTGTATACACCGATCGTGCCAATATTTCTCGGGAAAACGTCGCCGAGTACCGGAACAAACTTATGTCTGAAGTCGAGTCTTTGCTGAACAAAGTCTCGGATCGGGGGTGACTAAATCTAGTCCAGTTCAACCACCAGAGGACACAAGTTTGCACGTTTACCGCTAAAAAGAACCCCTTTGTCGTATCTCCTCAGTTTCTAGGCACTCCCCTTGTTGCCTCAGCCAGTATCGGAATCCTCGGCGTCGACATATCGAGTGATGTGCAGTTTCGTGGTCACCTGGAAGAGCAAGGCAAGAGTGAATAGGCTTTTGTTAAGTCAGTGCGCTTCACCATCCTAGTCTACATCACCACTTACCATCAGGTGGGATCGTAGATAAGCGCTGGCTTAGTAAAATATAAAAAAAAGAAGAGAAGGCGAAATTGGCCTCTAAAAAGCTTGGCGTGCTCAGCAGAGCGAGATAGTATTTCATGCCGGCACAACGCCTGCAACTTTACTAGACGCAGGTTCGGCCAGACATGGAATACTGTTCCCATCTCCTGGGGCTCCCCAGTGCCAGCTCCTTCCACTTGACTGCATCCAGCGCAGAGTTGCTCGAATCGTCGACGACCGAGTCATTTCCGATCAAGTCGATTTATTGGCGCTGCGAAGAGATGTTGCATCTCTTTGCATTTTCTTTCGCATTTACGACGGAGAGTGCTCTGAGGAATTGTTCGGATTAATCCCATTCGCCAAAATTCACGAACGCACATCGCGGCAGAACTCCTGATACCATCAACACCATCTGGAATATTGGCGGTCCACTGTACGATTTAGAAGATGTTTTCTTTCTCTTACAACTTCCTTGTGGAATAGTTTTGCTACCAGCAAATTTTCCCGACCGATACGACTTAAAGACCTTCAAGAAAAGAGCCTTCTCCTTTTTAAAGGGCCGGCAACGCATCTGCAATTCCCAACCGCAACACCAGAGGAACCAGTCCTCTGGTGTTGCGGTTGTTCATGGGTGGCGGTAGTCACTTATCATTAGGTGAGCCGCATGCTCGTTTGCCCCCTCTCCTATAAAAGAAAATTATTTTATAATATTATGCGACATTTGGACATATTTATATTTATATGTGTTGCCATCATTTTATTGTACACCCCTCTATTTTAACCATTATTGGCATCAGTCCTCTACGCAAAGGTTGTTTGGAAGAGATCACTTTCAGAGTGATAAGACCGACTTTTGTACATATATTTAGATTGAAATTTGTAGTGACGAATAGACGAATAGAATAGGATAGAGCTCTACGTGTTTTCTGTATTTTAATATAGAATAA